GTGGTGTTCATAACGGTGTCCACCACATCATATGGAAGGAGATCCACTTCGGATATATTATATTTTATTAGAAGTGGGTCTCCCTCCATATGTAGAGGTGGACACCGTTATGAACACCGCATTATGTACGTGTAGCATCTAACTTGTTGTTTGTATGTACTCTTTCAAAAATTTTATTCACACAAAATAAATTTTGCTTTCTTGATAATTTTTGGAGTTGCAGGAATTCAGATATAGAGTGTGCTCTATTTGCAAGCAAAATATTTCTTTATTATTTTGACATATTACAAACGGTTGGAAGTGACAACAATAGATTTTAACATATTATAATGGTTGAAAATGACGTCAATATATTTTAATATAGAGAAAATTCTAATAAGGCGATGATCTATCGATTACAAATAACATAATTCTCAAATAAAATAAATAGATTCGGAACGGATTCGAGAAATTTGAAATGGACATTAAAATTCCCCACTTATATAAATAGTCTGTTGTTTTTCATCACGATGATGAATCATCTTGTTTATATGGCATTGGATGATTTTTCTAAAACATGAGTTTCATGTCCTTGCTGTAAGGAAATTGATTCCTTGGATTCGAATTGAAGATTCCTCAGCAGCTGCAAAAGTATTCCAACAGATTAGAGCCTTTAACTACCTGTTTCAACTACCATTGTTGGTTAGAATCTTCAACCAACTTGGAGCCTCGTTGGTTGGTAGTTAATAACTGAAATGGAGCCTCAATTGAGTCTATAAATAGGAGCCTCAGGTTCTGGAAAAAGGCAGCTCGAAAATGAAGATGTAGAGCTCGAAAACTCTGGTAAAGGAGGGATGAAGAGCTCTGAAAATCTGGTAAAGGAGGAGCTCAAAAGGGAGAGTGAATCTCTACAAAAAAGGAGCTCTGAAAGTGGGCTATGAAGCGGCTCTGGATGAGGGAATTCGGTAGAGAATTCTGGAGCTATAAATAGAGAGCTTGAGACTGGTAAAAGTCTGTAGAGAAATAGGATATTATTTCTCTGGAAAGTAGAATTCTGGAGTCGTAGAATTCTGGAGTAGGAAGTGTAGATTGGGGAGGAACTAATCTGGAAATTCCTTCTACTGATTCATGTAATTGAATGTTAAGTTTTCTTGGTTGATAAGAAGCTTGAGGAAGAGGTTTTTCTTCCTGTTTCCAAATCTGTTCTGTTCTTCTGCTGATTATTTTTC